GCAAAATGAAGCGAGCGGAAGAGTTCAGGTACATGGGAAGAGTGTTCACCCAAGATGGAACAATGGAGAGAGAAATATAACCAGAATTTTTAAAAAGTCAATGCTGTTTACTTACCAGTCAGTTCAATTACTTTCACATACCAATACTACAATGAAAACAAAGCGTCATTACATTAATAGCATCTTCTTCCCAGCCCAAATATAGACAATAAAAAGAAATAGTCAGCAAAGTAAAATAAGCGCCGAAGAAATGAGATGCCTAAGATAACCTTTAATCATCAAAAGAGACATGGTTGGAAACGAGATTGTCAGATAAGAAGTTGGCTTGCCTTCCAGTTTGGAGTACAAACATAAACAATGAAAAAATGGTTTGGACATCCGTCAACACTATCCCCAGACAGTATAGCAGCGAGAGTATACAACTGGAGATCAATAAATTGCTACAGAGAAAGAGGCAGGCCCACAAAAAGATGGATGGATAGGTTCAGAAAAAAACATAGGACAAAAGCAATATAACTATGCAATAGAGAATACAACAAACAAAAAGGGGGTGTTGCTTTTACTCCTGACACCGTTAGATAACAGAAGAAGTTTTAGTTTTAGCTATAGATAAGAGACATACGGCACTTTGAACACAATACGGTCAGATAAGTGCCCAAGGTTGGACCCAGGAGGTATCAGTTGTTACAAGAGAGCAACGAACACAAAAAGGAGGAGAGATACGAAGATAGATGTTTGATAGGGAAGAAGGGAAAGGCCACACCAGAGCACCCGGCAACCACCAAATAGAAGCCAGAAAAAGTAAAAGTAAAGTAAGATTATATACTTTCTGTGCATAATCAGTCGCTCAGTTCTAGTCTCCCAGTGTACACGTAACAATTCTGAAATGTAAATACGTTCACTTATCGTTTTTGACACGCACCTGTTGCTTCTGGCACGCCGCAAAGCCCGAGAAGAGACATCTGGCGCAGAGCTCAGACACAACTCAACATTTGGCTAATTCAGAATTACAAAGTTCTATCTGCTCAGTACCTTGAGAAATCTGGCGTCAAACATTTTGAGTTTCACATCATGTCAAGCTTTTTTCAAATACAATTCTTTGAATATCTTGATAACGACTCTGAATAATTTTATGATTTTGATTGCGCAGATAGAACATTTGGTTTCTGACCTCATGGTCTTCATGGTCTTAGTACGGTAACTCAAAACGGCAAAAAATGTCAGATAGAACTTTATAATTCTGAGGTAGCGATTTTGTAGGGATTTTCGCTGAATATACCTTTCTTCAGAACTGAAAGCGTTTTCTACAGGCATTTTTCCCTCCCAAAACCACAACAGCTATTCGAATATACCTATATGTAATAACCATCACGACTATGGCGAAATCCGTCATTTATAGATCTAGTACCGGGCAAAAATGTTTTTAATAGGTCGGGGAAAAATATTTTCTAAAAATATGTTGCCAAATTGTGGCATGGGTATGCTTTGCTCTGTCGTACCTTCGTATAAGCGACTCATTTTGAGGATCAAACACCCACCTTAATACTAATAGTAATAGTGAATAAAACAGCAGACGGTGTGTAACACTGAACATTTGTTCAGATATGCGCTGGCGTGCAAGCGACATGGGTTTTGCAGAAATTTGTTGTCTCAGAAGAATACATCATACAATATTATTATGAGTACGGATAATGCACACAGGGTAAACACGAAATTCGGGACAGCACAAAACGAAAACAATACATGCAACAACCCAAAAAAAGAACAACGAAGTTTGCCCCAAAATCCAAAAGACGTGTTGGTAACGAGGCTCACCATTACTTGGCAAGCAAAAAACACAAAGGGACGTAAATAGCTAAGCAGACTACGCAGACGACGGGCGCGCATTCAATAGAGGATTAACAACAGGCCGACATCTTTTCCAAACCACACAAACATATTGTCACAGTCCTAATGAACGCCCCATACCGGAAGAGACGTGACAGGACTGAACTTAGCGCGTCTTTTTTGGGCCTGCCCATCTGCGTCTATCTACAAGAGTTTGGGGGACTTTATTTGCCTGTCGTTCCGTTTTGTTTTGTTTTAAAAATGGTCTTCGTGTTTGTTTGGGTTTTTCACACTTTTCTTCTTCTTTTTTTTCTTTACGGGGGGGG